ATTCTAACGGGATCTATAGCGTTCTAACGCAATCTATTGTGTTCTAACATGATCTATTGCGTTCTACCGCGATCTATAGCGTTCTAACGCGATCTATTGAGTTGTAACGCGATCTATTGAGTTGTAACGCAATCTATTGAGTTGTAACGCAATATATTGTGTTCTAACGCGATCTATTGTATCTATTGTGTTCTAACGTGATCTATTGTGTTCTAACATGATCTATTGTGTTCTAACATGATCTATTGTGTTCTAACGTGATCTATGTATTGTGTTCTAACGTGATCTATTGTGTTCTAACATGATCTATTGTGTTCTAACGTGATCTATTGCGTTCTTCCGCGATTTATAGCGTTCTAACGCGATCTATTGAGTTGTAACGTAATCTATTGAGTTGTAACGTAATCTATTGTGTTCTAACGCGATCTATTGTGTTCTAACACAATCTATTGTGTTCTAACGTGTTCTATTGTATTCTAACGTGACCTATTGCACTCTAAAGCAATTTAATGTAACCCAAGGCAATCTAATGTAACCTAATGCAATCTAATGCATTCTAATGCACAATTTAATGCATTCTAATGTGCAATCTAATGCATTCTAATTCAATCTAATATAGCCTAATACAATCTAATGCATTCAAATTGACTAAACTAACTGACACTTTCTACTGCAATCTAAAGCATTCTAATGCAATCTTAAGTAACGTAATGCAATCTTAAGTAACGTAATGCAATGTAATGCAATCTAATGTAACCTAATGAAATCTAATGTAACCTAATGAAATCTAATATATCCTAATTCAATTTAATGCTTTCTAGTATATTCTAATGCATTGCAATGAATTCTAGTGCAATGAAATCTAGTGCAATGAAATCTAGTGCAATCAAATAAAATCTCAATGCATTCTTATACTTTCTAATTCAGTCTATATAATTTTACTGAATTAGGTTGGCTTGAATTGGTCTGGAATGATTTGATTAGGGTTGAATTTGGTTGGGTTGAATAGAGTTGGGTGTGGTTGGATTGGGTTGAATCAAGTCAGAACAAGTTAAATTGGTTTTGGTTAAATATGGTTTAATTGGGTTGAGTTTAATTGAATTTTGGTTGAATTGAGTTAGGTGGGGTAATTTAATTTCCAAGCCAGTCAATACTCAATATTACCCCATCAGGGCTGCCATTAGGTAGTCACATTTCCCTCATTATGGGGCAGCACCCCCCCATTTGCAAACTATGACTCTTTCCTCAAGTTTTTCATTTGCATATGTAACTAGAAGAGTTCTACTACAATGCACCAAAACCTGGAGTTATTTGGAGTTATTTTACCAAAAAATATAATTGATTTTACCACCTGGTCTAAGGTACCCCAAGAGCTGGGGGTAACAAAGACCATCACTTTTTTTGAAATTACATAAAGACTATGAGAGGCAGGAGCCAGCAATTTATGGTGAGTGAAGCAAGAGTATAGACCTGTATTTTGCATGTTTCAATTCAAGTTTAATTTAGCTAGTAAAAAAATGGCATCATTTATAAAAAAAAGTAGTCTAAGTTACCCCATTTTACGTACCAAATAGTCAACTACCATCAATCCAGGCTATAAAGTGTGGCACAACATAGGTCAAGGATGCTGACTTCATTGCACCAAGACACCAAGGTATGATCAAGGTGAATGCCACTGGAGAGCGGTCTTCAATTATGCTTCTCCATAAATCATGATTTAGGATTTATATTGTCAATCATCACCAATGTGCCACATCAATCATAATGTTTCAATCAGAGCTGCAAGTTGTAGCATGTAGTGTAAAATCAGAGGTGGGCAGTAGCGCGCTACATGTAGCGGCCGCTACATTTTTGGTAGCGGTAGCGGCTCTACATTTATGGCAATGTAGCGGTAGCGCCCGCTACATATTTAAGTAGCGATGCAAGGTTTTGCCGCTACAGCGCTACCGCTACATTTATAGATAAAGCCTTTAGATTTTACTTAAGGGGACCGGCTACCCTCCAACAAAACTTTTTTGTTTACAGACGGATCGTTTTGAAACCTGTGACACATGTGTAAAATAGAAATCTAAGACTTTTTTGTTCATGTAAATTAAAAAAAAACGAAAACGTGGAATTAATAGAAAACGGCAAAGAAGGGGTACTCTAAAAAAGTTAATAACTTTTGCCAATCACATGCTACAATGTCGAGACAGATTTCATTCGATTTGTAACAACAATATCTAGCAACTGTAGAGCCCTGATTTTTTATTTTCCTCATTGTTTTTTTCGCGTTCATCCCATTTTTTTACATTTTTATCCCCACACCTTCCTCCCCCTTCCATATATAAGTCAAACCATGCACATATTAAAAAAAAAGCTTCTAGAGTCGCTAGGTATTGTTTGCTCATGTTCTGTGTCAACCTGGTCAGACAAATTTTCTCCTGCCCATGTCAGTTCATCGCCAGCTCTGTATTCAAAAACAATAAAACTTTATTCATGCCTGTGTTCTGATCCAGCCTCTCCCTATGACCCTTACCTCTGTGTACCTTGAAATCTTATTATTATTCAGCATTAGCTACCAATCCTTACAGTAGTTCTGATTGCTGTGGCTTGTGCTTATGTATATTTGAGCAGCATATAGTTCTGATGGCTCAGAGTGCATATATTTGAGTGCTTATGTTGAGAGAGCCTTATGGCACTGACAATGGATAAAAAAAACAGCTTGTGATGAATAATTTTACCCAAAAACATAAGAATTATGTTTTTTCAGACACCAACAGGCTACATTATTAGTCTAGTCATCTGAACTGCACACCCCAGTGAATAAAAAATTATTTTTCCAAGCCCAACCCTATTCAACCAAACCCAATCCAGCTCAACCTGACCCAATCCAATGCAACCTGACACAATCCATTGCAACTCAAACAAATTCATCACCACATAAGCCAATTCAACCCAAACCAATTCATTCAATCCAACCAAATTCAACTTGACCCAATCTATTCTAATTCAACCCAAATCAATTCAGCCCAATCCAATTCAAACCAACCTAACCTAATTCAACCCAATTTAACTCCACCCAACTCAATTCAACCCAATTTAACTCCACCCAACTTAATTCAACCCAATTTAACTCCACCCAACTTAATTCAACCCAACCTGATTCAATCCAATCAAATTCAACATAAAATCAATTCTGTCCAATCCAACTTAATTCAACCCAATTTAACCACACCCAACAATTCAAACCAGCCTGATTCAACCCAATTCAATTCATCCTGATTCAACTCAATCCAACCCAATTCAAACCAACCTAATTCAGTAAAATTAGAATTGATTCAATCTCAAGGTTGAATTGGGTTGGGCATTAGAACACCTCAGAACACACTAGGTTGCATTTAGCATGCATTAGATTGACATAAATGAGAATATATTACCTGTTCAGAATTCCACACTGCCAAGGTTAAAAAATGGGCTGAAGCCACCCATGCCTTGGACCAAAACATCTGTGAATCAGGCCAATTTCATCCATTTTTAAGGCATTTTCCCAATTTCTTCCATAAAAAATGAAAACCTGTGAAATGGCCTCATTGCGAGAGGCCGCAGATGGTTCGGTGAATGAAATACAGATTTTCTTAATCATACTGTACTTCTTATTTTCAGTCCATCTTCACATGACGTGCTCTGCAAAGCAGAGTACCGTAAGAAGGCAGAACTTAGAATTAGTCTTAATTGTAATTCCTCTGAAACGCTAGTCGGCAATGATTGAGCAATTCAAGACGCTTAGGATTATTCAGAATTTCTATCTAGGCGGCAACATGGAAATATTTTGTCAAGGAAAAGTTCCGCTCATGGTTATACAGTACAAACTGCCTGGTTACGTTACACGAGTGAATTTAGAATAGTAATTGATTCATAATTCATAGACAATTGTATTAATTTGCACAATTTCTTTGATATTGCAGTAAGCTAGAAAATCAGTCTCAGAAAAAATAAACGCACATTATTAATGGGGCAAAACTGCTAATAATTGACAATATCAAGATCATTTATGAGAGTTTAACTGGATTCAATGACACAGAACATAGTTTTCAGTCTGTGCATTATGAGATAGTAAATCATGAAACAGTAAACAATGCTTGAACATCCCTACTCATATCACTGATAAATCAGGCAAAATTACACATGAAAATAATGCAAAGTTATCAGAAAGTGACTAACTTATATTCATGTTATCTGAGACACACTTGATACCAGAATTCTTATAAAATACAGGTCGCTTGTGCTAAGTAATACTGCATAGGACAAGTTAAGCTACTGGCCAGGGGAATTCTATCAAATTAATGTTTGGTAGAAACGATTTCACAGAGTCGTATTGCAGACAGTTGCTATTAGTAAACTTCTACAACATGAACAAATTAGTCACGATAAAATTATTCATTTTTTTTTATTTCTCTACATGTCATATCATTGTTTATCCCGGCAACGAGGATTGACGCATCTCTAACCAGCAAAATTTCTAAATCACACAGAACGTGACTGTCCGTGTATGCGGATACTAAAAAAAATATTAAAACTAAAACTAATAACGATGCTAATGCTGGAATTTATCCCCAGCACAACCTGCCTATTTCACCTGCAATTTTTGAAAATCACTTGCATAACAATCAATTTTACCTGCAATTTTAGAAAACTCCAGCAGGGATTCCAAAATGGCTGGCCTACAGCACTTTCTGCTTATCACTAAAAACCACACATATATATATTAGTAGTCAGTAGTTAGAACTACAATTTTTAGGGTTTGAGCAATACAGTTGTTAGAGAAAGATTACACATTTTTTTTTAACAACTTGAACAAAAACATCACAGCTGAAAAAATGAAATGTTGGCTTAGAAAGTAGATAGTCCTATCTGGAATGTCATGACTGAATAGCCTATTGCTTTGTCAACATTGCTAAATCATGAATAACCTTTTTCCTGCAAAATCATATGATTTTATATTGTCAATTATGTTGTGCCTACTTCATAATAATTTTCTTTTCAGAGAAGCTGCTCACTTTTTTTAGAAAGAAGAAATTTTCTAAAATTTAGAATGTCTGAGAAAAAGACAAAAGGTAGCCATCAAAGCCAATCTGAACAGCAAGAAATAATCCAAACTTTTCAGCAGCTGCGCAATGAACAGCGCTCATTGATCTCTAAAATTACTGAACTAGAACAAGATTTGAATGAACACAAGTAAGAAAGGTGTTGTTATAATTTGGCTATAATTCATTTCCTTAGTTTTATCAGAAGCTTTAAATTGCATGGCTTAAATAAATTATTCAATCAGTGCTGCATAAATGCATAAAGAAATGAAATATTCTTTTGTATTTATTTTCACTTCTTTTGCAACTTTTTTTAACTTGAGTAAATGTTTATATAATACAATCTGTACTAGCAAATTTATGTTTAAAATTATTTACTAACATTTATTATCATTACCTTTCTGAGTCATTGGCAGTGCTGCATGCATGGGAATGCACCCAACCCTAACCTAACAAGATTGGCCTTTTTATAATTGTCCTGTAGGTACTGTAGTTCATTTATTATTGGGTTCAGTTTTTAAGTACAAACTAATTGCTGAGTGCATATCCAAATATCATTTTGTCTGGATTTCTAACCAATGTCCAGTAATATAACCAATCCTGTCTGGCTATTGACCAAAACTTGTGTATCTATATATATATATATATAGAGAGATACAATCTGTACTATCAAATTAATTTTGCACATTATTTACTAACTGCATTATCATTGCCACTCAAAATCAGTGGCAGTGCTGCATGAATGGGATTAAATATGCATTGACTTTTTCCTCATCTGCATAGGGCACCAAAATTACTCAAACAATATCTGTACCAAAATCATTTGTGATGCTGTTCATCAATGGATGTATGTTAGCAGCTGTGCTGGGTTATATATAAACATGATTGCATTGGAGACTGCACAGCTGTACAGAAATTTAAATGTAAGCATTTTTACAATTTTTCACCCTTTAATGTTGTTTTTTTTTTCATGGAGCTTTGATTTATCTATATTGACCTAACATACAATTTATGAACTAGGCAAAGTTTCCATTTCCCCTGCAAGTCACTAAATTTTTACACAGTGGCGCTTCCTACAATGTAGAACTATTTAACCCACAAAAGTAACTGATTATTTTATTTTTGTTTTCAAGGTTTTCATGCATTGCTAATTGCAGTTTTTCACTAGGCATTTGAATTTTTTCATGCTATGTGGTCTCTAAAACATTGCAGACAAGACAAAAGTAGCAAGTGTATTAACACAAAAATATATGTATATGTTGTATGGTAAAAATAAACCAATGTCAAGAATCAAAATAGTATTACTTATTTACAATTGATATTTCCATTTAAACTTAGGTCTGCATTCTTCCCAAATGCACACCAAAGCTAGTAGTGCAAACTGGGAAGTTTGTGTCAATTCTTATTCTGTTTGAAATAAATGTAAGAAATTTTGCTGAGTTAGCACTAAAGAATTGATTTAAAATAAGTAACATTTTGCAACAACTGCCATTCAGCTTGAGGATTTTATTTCCCCTATCTTTCTGAACTTGGTTGTATTCATCAATTTAAAGGTTTGTGGTTGTTGGTGTGAACAGTGCTGGATACTTGGAGCCCATATCAGGAACAAGCCGGACAATACTGGCTAAGTGGCTAACGACTACTTGGGATTTTAGAAAGTCGGAAATATGACTGATGTTTTTTCATTTTTTCTCTGCTGTTGATAATTTAGAAGTTTGGAAAAATTTTATGTGTGATAATTGCCAAATTTCATATTGTCAATGACAAATATATAAGTTGCACAGCTCTTGGCTATCTGATTTTCAATAAAAAAAATAATGACTAGAAATAATTTCTTTGTTGATTGAATTATACTTGTTTGTAGGAAAATCTTTTATGCCATTTGAAATTGTTTTTTTTTTTTGCACTTTACATTGTTTTTTTTTTAGAGACCTGCTATGTACTGTATATAGGTATATTTCTAAAAAATCATGTGTGACTGACTGAAAAGATTATATCTATATTTTGGAAATTCAGCTTATGTGAAATTGATTTGAGTTTAGGACATATATTTTAAGATCTAATGTGAGAATTTAATGTCTCATAGAATTTCTTTGTGTTCACTTAGTCCATTTGACATCTAACCAAATACTTTTTTTTTCAGGGTGGTTTTGGAGACGCTGTCAGAAGTATCGGGTGATAGAAGGTGCTTCCGGATGGTGGGAGGAGTACTTGTAGAGAGAACTGTGGCTGAGGTCATACCTGCTCTTTCCAACAATAGAGATCAGGTGACATTATGTTACGTATCAAGTAATTCATGCTAGTTTGTTCATTTTGTTCCCTCTTAGGCCCATGAATTCACAAATGCAAACCGACATTCTCCATGTTGAAATTCCACTAACTTATTAAAGGGTTATTTGTGTTAACAATTTAACTTCTTCTATCTTACCCTAAAAAGTCATGCAAGCAGTAGATTACAACTTTCTGATTGGTAACTTAATTTATTCTCCTCTGAGTTCCTGCTTAAAGAATTTGACTTTGTCACTACATGTGACTACCATAATGCATGCACTTATACTCTGATTTCATATCTTATCTGTGAATCTGTGATATGCTGGGCTTGTGAATGTATATACTGTATAGCCTCATGAATTTTTGCAGAGATTTGTAACAAAAACACACTAGGAGTTTTTGAAAGGAATTCGTTGCAATTACCCCACAGCTTACATATACGTTTGAAATTTAATAAGATTGGTAATTACTTTCAGCTGACTAAGTTGTTGGAGAACATGAATGAGCTCCTGGTGAAGAAAGGTAAAGAGATCAACGAGTACCGCGAGAAGCATGGCATCAGAGTGCGTGGCCAAGAACCTCCCCCACAGGCGCCAGACACGGAGAAAGCTACATCATCAGGCGGCGTTCTTGTTGCCAATAAATCATAAGTTCTTCATTATTTAGTTAATATCAACGTTATTTTAAGCAATCAATTTCACAATAACTGTAACGCTTCAATTAGTTCTAATTTTGCGAACGTTTAGTTGATTTTCTAACTTATTTGCTACCAATATAATTAATCAAGATCTCGGAAGTAAGAAACTCGTATCGGCATGAGATCACCTGTTCACATTATAAATCAAGTTTTATTAATTATTTGTATTTCTGTTATTCTTGAGCGCCTTTTGTTTAACGGCTAAGTAGAAATTGACATCAGAATTATCTCTTTCATGTAATGAACCATGTACGTCGTCTGAGCTCAACTGATTCCTTGTTAATGTCTTTTCTATTATTTTTTTGCCGTCGAGCGTCGCATTGCTCGCGAATTCCATACTCAGCCTCTTAATTTGTAGCAAGTTGACTGCTTCTATCCTCTGGTTAATTCGTTTACTGCTTAAAGTTCTGGCCGAATATTATTTTCAATGTCAATGGAGCTAATTTCCTTATCTGAGCCTGTGGCAGCCTTGTTGGATCTATGAGAAAAAACGGTCATCACACATGCGTGCAATGCTAGTGAATGCGACGCGACCTTACATTGTATACTCATAACTTGAACTGGTCGAGAGATATCATCTTTACGGGTTGATATCTCTCTTCCCTTCACATGTGTTCATGGGCAGTAACTAAAAATCACTTCAAGGTTTGAGATTTAATTAGTTCATGTATAATTTATTTGCAAGTCTTACATCCCTTGAAGCCTTTGAGCTCAGCATGTTAAAGATCTAAAAATAGATTACATTAGATGAATAATGCAACAAATAATTTATGCTTTGAATTGCAGTGTCTTAAAGGTAAAGTAAAGAAGCCTGGGGGTGGGAAACGTTCTCTATAAGTGATTAAAGACGATATTTTACATCAGTCAGCTATCTACTTCAGCAGATTATCCGAGGAACTTTACGGAATGAAATAGCAAACGTGTCCATCTTTTGACAGTGCTGCGAGCATTGTGGATAAATAAACGTCGAAAGCGAATTGCTGCAAAGAGCGTTTTTTGTTGGCCTTCAATTCAGCGAGATTGGCGATAACACGGGAGGGCATCAGTGCACACAGGCATCGTTATGCGTGGCTTGAACAGCCTTGCAAGAGCTCAAATCATCTAGGTAACATAATATGCAAAGACTGACATAGACACAAGCGGGAAGATGGCTTGTTATGCCTAACACTATATACTTTTCAAATATGAAGTTAATGTTTACAGATGAATAGATAACTTAAGAGATTCAATTAATTTAGTAAGCAATGAATTGATATTCATTTTTGTGAGACGTAAAGAATTAAAGATAATTATACTACGTTGAAATATTTTGTAATCTGTTAACAACTCGTGTATACTCGAGACTTGTAGCTGCGTCTCACAGTAGTTAAAATAGTTTACAAAATCTACCTTAAGAACGGCTATTTCTGACTAGGAGTAATGACTCGTGGAATCACAAAATGAACAAGCGCTGAACAATCAGCTGCGTCTCGGCATATAAATTACAGGATCAATAATTTAAATTTAGTTGCCGGTTTGAAACTTAGCCTTAGTACATTTTGACCAAACCCGCTCGACAAAAAATAAAAAATTAGATACCATCTTGGCACTCGTGTTACAAAATGAACAACTTGATATGGGATTAGCGCAAACCTCTCTTAAGAGCAGAATAAATAAAAAAAGAATTCACTTTGATATCTCCCCAACTTCTAACATCAAAACTGGCCATACATGATATCAGATGTACCCATGATTAGAAAGGAAGGTACTTCTACCGAAACTAAAAGGATATGAAAGTTTAAATTAACATTATGTGCCTTCAGCAAAGGTTCTCCAATAAAGTTGGCAAGCGTTAATGCAAATCATCTAACATTGAGTCAAGAATGAGAGAATGCTTCCTCAGATCCAAAGGCTTAATTTGAATCTCTCCCTCAATTCTCCATTAAATTAGGTGCAGACGCCTGAAGAGCTTAGCTTTGAAATCAGATCCAGATACAAAAGACGGAGGAGGTTTTCCTCAAGGAGGCTTCTAAATCTAGAGGTCGCCAGGTCAGTTCACTTGCCACTGAAAACATGAAAATATCAGCATATTTGCAAATCATTCTAAATGCAATAGCAGAAAAAATAGAAAAACTTCTGTGCAAAGCTGCATTTTGAACAACATGCATAATAATTGACAAGGCATTGGTAAAGTTTTACTTTCTTTAGAAGACAAATACTCGCAAAACTAACCACAAGACTTAAATTTGTGATTCTTGAAATTAAGAAAAGAGGTATCCTGACATTTCTGTAACAATTTTGGCAGAATATTTGATGTTAATGTATTTTTTCTTCTTGAAAAATTGTCTGGGGCAGTTAAAATCAAGCCAAGGTATGCTCACTCACCTTCAAAGGATTATCTCTGTCCCCTGCTGCAGCTGCTGCTGCTTTCTCCTGCTTTTCAAGATTTTCTTGGTGTTTCTGCCACTGCTGGACTTTGGCTTGATTGCCTATACCTCTGCTGGCATTCTCCTGAGCCCTCTTCTCAGCAGCAGCTAGTTGCTTTGCTCGCATTTCTGTCTGAAAATGAAACAAAATTTTAATTCAACTGGAACCATGTGAAAAAAAGTAAAAAAATTATACAAAGCAGGATTGTTCCAGATTTAGTTTTGAGATACGGTACTATTTATTTAAACTCAAACTTTTGGACTATGAGAAACCCATTGAAACAAATTAGTAATATCAATAATAGTTGAAGCTGTGCCTTGAAATAACAGGGCAACAGTGTGTCATTGATCACAAATTTCCAGTTCAAAATGCATGTTTTTTAAATGATAACATGCATAATGACAATGATACATTTTGATGATAGTAATGATTAAACATTATATTATTAGTTTTGATTAACTCAAATAACTTCAGATGGTCCTTCCTGCTAAAGTTCTACCTATACCATACATCAATTCTATAAATTTCAATCTATCAAAACTAAAGTCAATTATTCAACATAATGTTGAAAGTCCTTATTCAACACATCACTAGACTCTAGAAATATTTGATGGAAAGAAAATGAGCAAAAGCCATCAGGCTTCAAAAATTAAATGATTCTTTGGTATCAGAGGGATCAAACATTATAAAAGAAAAGCGAGTATGTCATGCTTATAAGACCAATAACAATTATCAACTAAAAATTAACTTTTATTATTGGGTTGTCATGAAGATAATTTTAAAATTTAATTGAGATGGCAGAAGGGTTTGGTTGTTGAGAAAAATATCCATAATTAAATGAATGCTGTGGAGATTTCCATGAAGAGTTTACTAGTTTAGATTTTACTGCAAAATACTGCAAGGTTATTACTACCAAGACAACATTAATTCACCTATTGATACATACAGCAGAAACTTCATCAGTCAGGTCTGTAGACGAGCTTCCAAAGCAGGAGTTACAAATACCCATTGCACTCCGTTATCTGAAAACATTTTACAGACAGTTACATAGACATCCCACACAGTAGTTTTCATTGTCTCCTTTGAAATTGTACATCTTTTTTTACAATCATGAAGATGAACTCTAAATTTTACACCATCTCTAGCTTACACACACACATTGGAAAACATGCCTGAGATGGACAGACATGGTATTGCTCATTTCATTACATTTTTCCCATTTGTCACCCACAACTTTGGGTATCAAAACTGTAGACAAGACCAAGCTTCTGTTGAGAGAGGGGAATATTGACCTATAAATGAATCAGAAGGATGCTGGGGTAAACAATTATTTTTTCTTCAGTGCCATGATTTTTCTTCAGTAGGCTTTGTGAGGAATCACCAATGTTGCCAGAAGAAAGTGCTCATTTTCTATGAAAAAAGAAACTATGATCAATTATTGTATGGGAATGTCTAATTAGTAGAGCTACTGTCAATAGATATTAGGTTAAGATATAGCAGAACAAGTATTGGGTAATTTAAAATATAGCAATGAAATTTCAAAAAAATTACAATGTCTAAGATTATTGCCTACTAATCATAATTCTTAAATAAAATACTAGCTTACTTCTCACCATCAATGGCACACATGACATCATATTGTCTCAAGTCATTGCCTTTCAATTTAAACTACTTAGACAATGAATAGAATCTAATTAAAATGTCTGATAAAATTTAAAAAGATTTGAAGCTTTTTCCACAACTCAAACGTTACAAAATGCATAGCTAACCAATATCCATAATTCTCATATTTAGGTTTCAAAATAGTAGTGGCAGCTTGGGTGTCATAGGTGAAAGTGTCCCATGATACACCTAAATTGCTGTTTAATGTAACATCATCAACTGAATCTGAGGCTTAGGCAGGTAACAATTTTTCAATTTTATCTGATGGAGATGCAGAAATATGTGATCACTGACTTGATGGTCTGTTATATACATGTCTGCTCATCTCTGTGTAGGCTTAACC